ATACAAACAAATGGATTCTACATTCAAATTTGGATCCTATTCCCAATCTATCTCATTGTGTATATGAAAATGTTCCAAAATCTGTAATATTTCTAGTCCCGAGCATTTTGGTCAAGATTATTCAACCCATATATATATATATGGATATATACATGTATGCATACATTTGTGTTATAATAAAAATATGAAAACTTACTCCTAATGCCATAAATAAAACTCTTGTTAAAAGACAATATTGTATAAAGATTTATTTATTTAGTTAAAGGTTTATTATTTTTCATAGTTTTTAGTGTTGTGAGTGCCTGCATATGTGCACTAGGGTAGTTCCCTGGAACTGGGGTTACAGATGGTTGTGAGCTGCCATGTGGACACTGGGAACCAATCCTCAGTCCTCTGGAAGAGCAGCAAGTGCTCTTAACTGCTGAGCCACCTCTCCAGCCCCTAAAGGTTTATTATTTTTAAATCATTCTTCAAGAATGCATTTTTCTAAAACAGATAAAAGCTTCTAGGCCAAGAGGGATGTTTAAAAACACCCATTATCTATTTCCAAACATGCACTTTGCGTATAACTAACCCCACTCTAGTGAAGAACTAAAACCTTCAGCGTTTTAGTGCCTGCAGGGACCTCTATAGAAGTGATCTCTGCCGGCAGCTTTGCCTTTACGGAGTCTGATCGCCATGATGGTGGATGCAAATCCAAAGGGGCTAACAACAGTGAGCGCCACCTACTGGCCAGTAGTGTCTAAAGCATAGATACCTAGAAGACCAGGATTCAAATGTGTGCTAGACTGACCTACCTATGTGATAGCAGGTATTAGCAGGCTACCACCCATAACAACAGTGTCTATACAAGTTCAAAAAAAAAAAAAAAGAGGACAATTATATTATATATCTATGTCTGTATATCTATCTATCTATCTATTTAATCTATCTATATAGATTTGCTTTGTTTTTCAAGGCAAGGTTTCTCTCAGTGGAAAATCATATTTTAAGACAGGTAAAACTTACAAGAATTAAGATTTCAGTGTCCATAAAGCTGTACTGAAACCCAGACCCATTAATTCATTTATGCTTAGTTATGCTGTTGTACCACACAGGTAGAGATGAAAAGCTGCAACAGGCTGTGCGGCCTGTGAGCTCAAATGGTGGCCATACAGTTCGTTATAAAAAAGTTTGGCTTTGGCTATGTGTGGCACACTCCTGTTATGGTGCGGGAGAACTGTCTGTATTCTGTCAATCATGTTTTAAATAAACGCTGATTGGCCAGGCAGGAAGTATAGGCGGGAAAACCAGACAGGAAGCAGAAATAATGCAAAGAGAACAGGAGAATTCTGGGAAGGAGGAAGTTGATTCCTCCCACTCCTGCCTAGAGCACCAAAGCAGCAGGATGTCATCTGCCCCACTGAAAAAGGTACTGAGCCACATGGCTAACATAGATCAGAAAAATGGGTTAATCAAGATGTGAGAGTTAGCCAGAGCTAATAGGCCAATCAGCTTATAATTTATGGAGACCTATGTGTGATTTTCTTTGGGGCTAAAAAGTTGTGGGGTACCAGGCGGGACAAAAACCCCAACAACAAGCAGGCCCCCGTTCATGTTACACTGTTATCTTAGTACTCCTGAGACTTAGGCAGGAGGGTCATCTTGAATTCAAGGCCAGCCTGGGTTATAAAAGCAAGACAGGGTTCCCCCTCCCTGCATCCTGCTCCAGAGGAGGGGTATATAAGAAGAAAGAGGAAGATTTTTAGCACAAAACAAAGGAAGTGGACCTGTGGGAGCTCTTTTTTTAAAAAATATTTATTTATATATATTTATTTATTTATTATGTATACAATATTCTGTGTGTATGCCTGCAGGCCAGAAGAGGGCACCAGACCTCATTACAGATGGTTGTGAGAGCACCATGTGGTTGCTGGGAATTGAACTCAGAACCTTTGGAAAAGCAGGCAATGCTCTTAACCATGGAGCCATCTTTCCAGCCCAGGGAGTCCTTGATTCAATAATTACGACTAGATAACACAGGGGAGCTGGGTTTAAACATACAGAAGTAGACTCACGCACCTAAACTGCAGATTCCTATGTAGTAAAACTGGCTCACTGCTCAAGAGTGAATGAGGTAAGCGTTACTCAGCAGGTCAGAGGAGTGGCAAGACAGCGTGGATGAGGTGCCAGCCTCCAGCCCGGCCTGCTCCAGGACTCACCCAGTGCCACTGCTGTACACAGGGGACGTGCTGATCTAAAGACCTAGCTAAGACGAGCAACCCAGTGATACAGCCCCAGAAACAACAAAAAGTTTAATTTTAGAAAGATTTTTCTGTCTTTTTTTGCAGTTTATATAATTCACGTTGTTTCTCACTAACCTACCATAAGCATGGCGTACAGTACCGGCACACGTCATGGCAGCTCTGGAAACCTGACTCTGCTGTTGAGTGACTACTGCAGTCCCCGGAGTAGAGAGAGGACAGGAAGATGCTAGAGATGGCATTTTTATCCCTCCACCCCATTGTCCTAAGTCACTTTTGGGTTGTTTTATAAGAGCTATTATTAGTTTTTAGTGTCTTGAGACAGGGTCCCTCTACATAACCCTGGATGTCCTGTCCTGGAACTCTATCTGGAGCCCAGTCTGGCTTCAGATTCCCATAGATCCACCCGACTCTGCCTCTCAGTGCTCGGATTAGAGGTGTGGGCCACCATGTCTGAGAAGATTTATTTTCATTTTATGTGGATGAGAGATGAATATTGTTTGATAACTTAAAATATAGGGCCATGAATTGCTATTACCTTGTACAAATACATGATGTACATTAGCGAGACCCTTCTGGTCTCTATCCATGGCCAGGTTACAAGTTTGGGCACTTTAGGCCAGACTGTCTCTGCTGGAGCTGTTTAACTCCATCACATGGCATCAGAAGAGCCAAGCAGCCAAGACAATATATAAGCAATGCTCAATGATGTGTTAAGGAGAGCTGAAGTACAAATTTCATGCAGTTTTCATAAAATTGACTTTCAATTGTTTTCAATCTTTAAAATATAAAACCATCTCTAGCTCCCGGATGAAGCGAGATAGGTGGTGGGCTACATTTCATCTGTAGTTTGTTTGCTGATGATATTCATCAATTTACCTTGACGTAAAACCAAATATACCTATGCGCTAAACTTTCTACAGAGTGACATTTATTCAAAAGATTGCAAGTGAGCACAGGATTATAAATTCATCATTGGTGAACCTTTTTGTTTGTTTGTTTGTTTGAGATAAGGTCTGCTAGGTAGCTCTGGCTGGCCTGGAACTAACTATGTAGATCAGGCTGTTCCAACTCACAGAGATCCCCCTGCCTGAGCACTGGGATTTTATTTATTTTTAATTATATGTATGCGCATGGCAAGAGCAAATGAGTGTAGGTGCTCAAGGAGACTAGAAAGTGTCAGATCTCAGGTGACAGGAGGATGGGAGCTGCCTGCTGTGGGCGTCTTCTGGAAGAGCAGCAGGCACTTAACCTTGGAGCCACCTTTCCAGCAGCAGCAGCCCTGCCTGATGTGGGAAGTAATGTATGCTGTGAATATGTTTTATTGTCATTGGTTAATAAAGAAGCTGCTTTTGGCCAGTGGCTTATCAGAATAAAGCCAGGCTGAAAGAGACATATAGATAGAGTAGGCGGAGTCACAGAGAAGCCATGTAGCCCTGCTGGAGAGACGCTGGATGCTGGACGGAACTTTACCTAGTAAGCCAAAGCCACATATTAAGGGAGATGGGTTAGCATAGGATATAATAGCTAGCTAAAAGTATGCTTAAGATATTGGCCAAACAGTATTGCAAATAATACAGTTTCTGTGTAATTAATTCAAGTCAGGGTGGTTGGGAAATGAACCAGCAGCCTTCCCCCAATACCCACCCCTTGGCTTTTTACTGATAAATACTGCATAAAAGCAAAGTGGAGATACTGATCACTTGCTTTGAAGTTCTACTTTCAACCCTCACTCTTTATCATAATTCAAGCTACACCATGAATTCTATCCTTGCCTCCTTCCATTCTTCTTGAGACTAGACTTCCTAGAGCCCAGGCTGTCCTGGAATTCACTATGGAATTGAGGATGACCCTAAACTCCTGATCCTCCTACCTCTGTTTCTCAAATGCAATTACAGGCATCACCATGCCTGGCTCAGAATACCAACTTCTCTACTGAAAAATAAATCCTCAATGGCTTATATCAAATACATAGTATTAAAAAGTGCCTTCATTATGGTTTTGGAGACATTATCCATGATTTAACCTTAGTCTCTGGGAGAGATTGGCAGGCAATCTATAGGCTTTAGTTTCATCAAATGCTTCTTTGGAGGGCCTTTTCTCATCTGTGTTTACATTTAGTAAATATTGGGGGATGCAGATAGTAAAGAAACAAGAAACAGTGCAGGAAGTGGGGTGTTCAAGCTCAAAAGTACGGCCGTCGAGGAGGGACACAGACCCAAGTGTCCTCCTCCTGCCTCATTCTCAGAGCATCGTGACATTTGTCTTCTCCAAAGGTTCATGAGTCGTACCAGAGCCTGTGAAGTCTGCATTTTCAGACTGACACAATGGGCTTGGTGCCAGTGGGAGCTCTTGGGAACTGACGGGGGCTTGAGCTGAATACGCTTGTTGTTTCATCTGGCAGGCAGCCTACAAAAGGAAGGAAATTTACATGAATGTCAAGAAGGAGAGAAGTAATAAGAACACTGTAAAATTGCTGTATTATTGCTAACAAAATAATGGTGAGTTTCAAAAATGTGTTTTCAGAAAACAGGGTGCTCACTCAGAGAGGTGGCAAGAGAAAACTAGGCTGACTTTTGTATTGTCTCCCATTTAACTTTGCTCCTATAAAACTTATAGGGAGGCTTGGTCAAAAAGGGGGAGCAGGATATAAGTGTTAGACTGACTTGCAGTTTTGTGCTTTTGCTGACAACACCCCCATGAATATTAGCATTAACTAACTAAGAAGAATGAAGGACTCCATGCCTTCTCAGGAGTCACATAAAAAGGGGAGATGGTGACGTGATTTGTCTGCTGGATTCCAGTAAGTGCCAGGCTGTCTCTGGACTCTAGAGACATCTGCTCCAGAGAGGCGCAATACTCCAGGATCCTGTCTGTGGACGGCTGTTCCTCTGCATGAGGCACATGCAATATGCAAGAACTAAAACAATTTTAACCACTGTGCATTTGTATTGTGCTTTCTAGTTTTCAAAACACTATTACCTGAGTGAACACCTCCATCACAAGAACATCCCTCCGTATTAGACAGTATCAGCACACAGCCAGTTAGAGGAAAAGCCTGGCTGGTAATCAGTTCTCGGAGAATGCTCCAATCAGAGTGCTCACGAAATAACAGCCAGGCCACGGTTCTTTTGTTTTTGTTTTTATGAAAAAAAATTTGATTTTTTATGTATTATTGTTAGTGTAATATCTGGAGATAAGTGGAGAACTTTATGGAGTTGGTTTTCAGCTTCCACCCACATCAGGCAGTGTCTCTCATTTTTGTGCTGTGTGCTCCAGGACAGCTGGTCTGCCAGCTCTAGACAATCTATCTGTCTCTGTCCCCCATTTTACTGTAGGTACTAGATACTGCATCTGGCTTTTTTATGTGGGTTCTGGGAAAAGAAGTCAGGTGGACAAGCTCGGCGGACAGGGCTTTCGCCTGCTGAACAATCTCAGTAGCCGACTATCATCATCTTCAATACTGACTGGATCCTTACTTAAAACGCCTTTTCCTCTCACACATTACTAACAAGAAGAGCGTGTGTGGAGGGATTATTACAAAAAAACTGGGGGGCGGCACAGCGGCTCATGGCTACTTAACTCAGGGCTCTTAAAAACTTCAAAGTTACATAGACTCATACTTATCAATGTCTTTCTGGAAGACGGTCAGTCTTCACAACATCAAAGAACATACTTCAAGTTTGCAGCCCCTAATAAGCTTTGTGACTGCAGATGGCACTTGACCTCCTATTCTGGATGTTGCTAGTGGGACAGCTGCATGTTGTGAAGTGGTTGTAAAGGTGGAAGAGGACTTAATTCCAGCAAGGCCCTGCCCCCCCCCCCCCATGACCGGTGAGCTCTGGGTCAGAAACTTCAGAAACAGAACATTCCATGTCCACCAGAGCCAGCTGGTTTGGCTGCCCACCTCCATGGGCTGTTCTCTTCTGCAGTCCCAGGAAAAGCACCATCGCCTCCAGAGGGGACAGTGCATGTTCTTCAGCAGGGAAAAGACTGAGCAGAGAAGGTTTAAAACTCCATCAAACTACAGAGATGGCTGCCGCACACCCTGAACCGGTGAGTGTCCAGAGTGCCGCAGCATCGGCAGAACTGGCATCAAAATGCACAATTGGCATCGTAATGCAGCAGTAGGTTTTGAACTGCAAACATTTTCGGATGAGCTGAATGTAGTTATTTTATTACTTTGTGCACATGGGTATTTTGTCTGCATGTAGTGTGTTCCATGTTGAAAAGGGCATCAGATTCCCTGGACCTGGCCTCATGGACGACTGTGCGCCACCATGTGGGTGCTGTGGGTCAAACCCAGGTCCTCTCTGGAAGAGCAGTACAGCATTTCTAAAGCTCCCTTTCTGAGGTGCAAGGGGTGACACCAGGCCCTCAGACATGCTAGCTAAGTATTCTACCAAGTGACGCCCAGGCCTACATGCATTTGTTTTTATTGAGGTGTTTAGCATACAATTTTAGAGAGTTTTCAAAGGCATTTTATTTGAAAATGTTTGAAATATCAAATTCTTTTTTTTGGGGGGGGGTTCAAGAGAGAGAAAGGGTTTCTTTGGTTAGACCGGGCTATCCTGGTACTAGTTCAGGCTGGTCTTGAACTCAGAGATCCACCTGCCTCTGCTTTCCAAGCTGGGATTAAAGGCAGGTACCACCCAGAGTATATACTTTCTATATTCTCTTGTATATAAACTGTCATATGGGAGTAAAGCAAGATAAACCCTCTCCTCCCTAGTAATGTTTCATCACAGCAATAGTGACCCTAACTAGGGCATGTATACATACTCATATACAGACACTTTCAAGTATACGTTGTTAAAAATGAAAACAGTTCTTTTTTTTAATATTTATTTATTATGTATACAATATTCTGTCTGTGTGTATTCCTGCAGGCCAGAAAGGGCACCAGACCCCTTTACAGATGGTTGTTAGCCACCATGTGGTTGCTGGGAATTGAAGTCAGGACCTTTGGAAGAGCAGGCAATGCTCTTAACCTCTGAGCCATCTCTCCAGCCCCAAAAACAGTTCTTAAAGCATAAACTAGTACATAGAAATAAAAAAACAGGATTTTAAAAAGAGGAAAAAATTAAAAACAGTGAACATTTGATAGACACAAGCTGATAGCTTGCTGGGTGTGGGGCTCAGGGCAGACATCCCAGCACTTGAGGGGAGGAGGCAGGAGTTCACAGTCAGCCTTGGCTACATGAATTTAAGGCAAACCTGGGCTACATATCCACTGCTCCTCCCCACCAAAAAAAACCCCTAAGTAACCAACCAAACAGTTTGTAAGCTTTAGGACTGGCACATACAAGGTATTAACTCTTCCATCCAGTGATGTCCTCAGACCTCTAGCTTGTAAAGAAAAATAAAACTCAAAATTTGAGGAACACTAAAGTTATTGTAGTTATATTTGTATCAAGCTGCAAATTCTTCCATCTGAAAATTTTATTCATGGCATTGTATAAGATAGGGCAGTCTTAAATTTTAACTGCAAAAGGATGTCTTTGAAAATATTTGTGTGTGTTCTGTGGATTGGCTGTGGAGGTCAGAGGACCACTTTTGGGAGTCAGTTTTCTCTCTCTACCAGGTGAATCTCAGCGATTCAAATGAGGTCATCAGGTTTGGCAATGAGCACCTTTACCTGCTGATCCATCTTGCCGGCTCAAGCGAGTCTTAAATACCTGGGTAGGCTACCAGAACAGAATGGTGGAGAAAGGACACTTCTCCATACCTGAGTGTGATCAGTGACATTAATTGTGCATTGACACCAGGCTTTAAGACACCTTAACCTTCTGTCGGTAAGAACAGATTTGACTTTATGATCATCTCCTTTTCTTGTGGAATGCAGTTCACACAACACACTACCCCAATAGAGTACATCCCAAACATAAATTACCACACTGTCAGGTGACTCCAATGCCGTCTGTTGCTCTGCCACCGTGTTGTGCTCAACCACCTCTGACAGGTCTTCCTGAAGTGTCAAAGATACAATCAGTTAGCAGCATCATAGGTCTCAATTGCACCTCTGGCAGCCCCCTGGGCTTTGGTCTCAAGCACTTACACAATCTCCATCCCCAACCTGGAAGAACCTGCATAAGTGAGCTCAGGCTAGCCTCTCAGATATTTTTGGTGGTCTTTCCTTCTCTATTACATAGCTTTCCTAGATCTGTGTGATGCTGAATTTTAAATCAGTTCCAGGGTTCAATTCCTGATATTAGATCCCCCACTCCTGCTTTTAAGATGCTTATCTAGAGGCTAAGAGCCCATCCAATAGAGACACTGTGGGAAAGAAAAGTAAGTTAGTTTTCAGACTGACACACAGGCATGTCAACTGAAATGCTGGCTAGAGTGTGTGTGTGTGTGTGTCTGTCTCCACGTGTTTCATTCTTTGTGTAGCTGGATTTAGGCTAAAGCATCATCTGATGGTTTAGGTTAAGGCATGAGCTCCTGCAACTTGGTTTGGACAAGGCCACAAAGAGACTAAAGAGATGTTGATTTGGGTGTGTTTACTCTGGCACTCAGGGGCGCTGTGCTGCACTGGGGACTAGGAAATGAGAACAGGGTGGCCTGTGCCATGCAATGTTAGGAGTTTGCAATCCTAGCTCTTTGACTCAAGCAAATCTGAGTCTGTATTGACTCTCCCAACCTTAATTCTCTGCATAATTTATAAATGGGTGTGGGTGGGATGTTGGGTTTCAAACCTGGTGCCCTATTAACATATCAAAGCTGGTGCTGGCGGCCAGGTTCTCCCAGCACCCTCAGTCCCTCCCCAGAACAGCTTTGTCTTGACTAGCACTCCACCACACCAACACATACACTTCTCCAGCCCAGACACTGAGCTGGGCTGCTCTTTCCCCAGATGCTCTTCCCTACAGAACCCAGACATTGCTACTTACAGCCCCCCCCCTTTTTTTTTTTATCTCTTTGCCTCTTGCCTCTTGGTTGCTATTCCTGGTTCCCCTCTTTATTCTTTCTCCTCAGCATAGCCTGGCTCAATCTGCTGGTCAAGTTTACTCTCTAACTCTCTCAGATGTGTCTATGTCTTTCTCTGCCTGTGCTTTCCTTTACATCTATGATTAAAAAAAAAAAACCCACCTCTTAGGAGCAGCCATGTCCTCCTTTTATTTCTTTTGTTCTCTCTCTCTCTCCCTTCTGGGGGTAATCTCACTATGGGGATGTGATTAACCAGCCTGCCTCCATCTTGGGCTTGAAAGTCATCTTTAAAAGAAAGACAAATCTCCATTTGGAAACCACCTACCCCTGAGCTATAAAAATTCTTTATCTTGCCCATATCCAATGCTGCCCTTTAGAACTCAGCCTTGGGTGGAGGCAGCTTGTTCACAAGAATAATTTTAAAAAAAAGCTTGCTTTGGTTAATGGGCCATGATGACTTGGGTTGGTGGTCTTTCTCCTCACATCTCTGGGGTTAACAGATGTTGAAAAGATTGAACAGAGGAACCCACAAATGGATTTCTCAAGGTACCTAGTGTAGGGGTAGCCCCAGCCAATCACCTTGTTTGTAGGGCGGGGTCACCTGAGGATATTTTTTACTAATAAATATTGCTGGTGTGCTCTCCCCCGCCCCTTCTGCTTTCCTGTTCTCCGCTGGAACCTCTGGTTCTGTGAGTCTCTTTCCCAATTAAAGCTGTAGATATTATTACAATTTCTGTCTGCCTTCATTTAAGCCGCTACAACCTAGCAAATATGCACATCCACTAAAGACATTCACAGTGACAGTAAGGGAACTAAAAGATGCTGGTTTCATGCTCCCAACTGCACCATCAGGCTATAGCAACCAGTCAGTGATCTGCAAAGGATCCCTGCACCCATTCAAACAGTATGATCAGTTCCCTATATTTCCCCTACCCTGCCCTGTCCCTGTGTTTTTGAGATAAGCTCTCTCTTTCTCTAAAAGGTTTTTCTTTAATATTTGGGAGAATAAAACATGACCTAAATGAGTACTAAATGCATCAATAATTAAGAATTTGAATTTAAAAGCACTTAGGTAAATTTCAGGCAGGCCACCCAGGATATACAGTGAATTTGTGATCTGTGGCCTCCACTGTGTGGCCTTCACAGGTGAGAGAGGGTGGTGAGGTCAATAACACGAGTGGGAATTTTGCAGAGTAAAGCCCAGGCTGTATTATAAACAGGAACCATGATGTCCATCAAAAAGCAAGTCCTTCTGTCATTTTGACACTGCAAACCTGCTTTAACCATCCCCAGTCAACTTGTGAGGGACAATGAGGATGTCTTCTCCAGTGTTAGAGATATAAAATATGACTCTTTTCTATCAAATTACTATTTGTGCTTAGAACAAGGAATTCATCTTTTTTTCCCACCTTGTAAGACTTTTATGCAAATATTCTAATGCTTCCCACCCAGTAAAACCTTTGTTTACCCACAGGCCACTGTTCCAGTCTAGGAATTTGAAGGTCTGCAGCCCTTTCCCCTTCTTCTCACTTCCTGTGTGGGAATTATTGTCAGACTAGCCAAATGAATAGACTATGAAGTCAGTTCCAGCCCACGGGGAAAAGACACAGCTACCTCCTGAGTTAGAATAAAACACCAGAGCATTTCCTGTCTCTGTGAGTCACTCAGTATTTGAATGCATCCTCTTGATCAAGAGTGTTGCCTTGTATAGACATTTTGGTCAGAAGCTGGTCTCTTCGCAACCAAACTTGTTTCTAACATTAGCTATGGGTCAAAAACTATAATTTATATATTGGTCAGGACAACTACTAACTTTGTTTTTCCTTTTTCTTAAACTGTTTTTACATTTATCTGTGTGTGTGCGTGTGTTTGAGCATGTGCACTTGCGTCAGAGGACAACTTGTGAAAGTTGGTTCTTTCTATTAAGTCAAGGAATGAAACTCAGGTCATCAGGCTGGGTAGCAGGTACTTAAACCAGTTGAGCTACCTTGCGGCCCCCTGATATTTACCATTTGCAAAGGGGGGGGGCAGAAAAATATGGGTTTCGACTGGTTTGATTCTAATTAGCAGGAGTGTTTAGAAAGGTCCGGTTTCCCTCCTTTCCCTTTCAACAGTAGGAAAGTAGCAACAAGCTACCTGAAAAGGGGCTGTTGGCCAAGCCTGAGCCTCACATCTGATTAGACAGCAGGATGCTGTGAGAGCAGAGGAGCCCAGGGCTCACCACCTTTTCCTACATGTTGGAAAGATGATTATAGAAATGATTACTTACAAGGGAATGATACAGCACGGGTCTGGGTGGCAGGTGTCTCAAGGTTAAAAATGCAACAGGATGGAATGATGAAATAGGATGTGTGGCTCAGCACACCACCTTCCTATACGGACTACCTTAAACTGGCTGAGGGGATGGGGCTGTGTATAAGGGCAGTGCCAACTATGATAGTTGACCACTGACTATTGACCACTGACTATCTACCAATATGGAGGTAGTCATGCTACACTTCTGTTAATGTGCACAATGGACTTTTGTGTTAGATACTGTTTCCTGTTTTAGACTGCTTGTGGGGGTGCACACCTTCAATCCCAGTACGGGGGGAGGGGGCACAAAGAGTTTAAGGTCATCCATTGCTAAACAGTGAGCTGATGGCCAGCCTGGGATATAGGAGACACTGTCTAAGATAAACCAAAACCAAAGCCCAATCATCTTTTTTAGAGTTTGAGTAACTGAGATACAGGGATGACAAAGTATTACTAAGCCAGAACCCAACCCAGACACAGCCCCGCTCTTAACCAAGGCACAAAGCATGTGAGAAAAAGACTGCACTTTTTGCCAGAAGGTCCTTGGTCAGTCCTGTGGAGTGACTCTGAACTTAGATTTGATATCAGGTAAGAACAAATTGCATTTGTTAATTCTAATCTGAGATTGAAAACAAAACAGAGGTACTTCTTGGCTCCTGCAGCGGCTCAGGTTACCTCCCTTGTGTATACACACAGGCTTAGAACTTGCTCACCTTCCAGCCACTGTACAATGGAGCTCTATTTTAAGATGATGACTTTGCATCTTAGCTCCTGAAACAAATGGACACAGCATATTTGGTGGGCACTGAAAGCCTCAGCACAGCACAGGAGCTCCTTATGGACACTGTTTTGTGCAACAAAATCAGATGTATCAGCAGATGGAACTTCAGGGTTAGTTTTTAAGAACTGGATTCTCCTAGGTGACAGTTATGATGAGAAGTGGGCCTGCCTGCAATCCTCAAAGCGGACTGACTCCTTTTCCATTGTTGTGACCTAGGCAATTTCTAGAATAAAGTTTATTGGGGCTTGCTTATAGTGTCTGAGGTTGGGTCTATAACCACCATGGCATGGAGCTTGGCAGTGCTTAGGAAGGCATGGTACTAGAGCAGTAACTAAGACCTAAAATTTGATCCACAAGTAGGGAGACAGACAGACAGACAGAGACAGCATGAGAGAAATAGCAAGAGAAGGGGGGGGGGGGGGAATTGAGAGTGCCAACTGAAAATAGTGTGGACTTTTGAAACCTCAAAGCCTACTCCCCATGGCACACCTCCTCCAACAAGGCCACACCTCCAAATAGTTCCACCAAATAGGTAGCAAACATTCAAACACATGAGCCCATGGACACCTTTCTCATTCAAATCACCACACTCCTGTAATGAAGTGCACCTTCTCTTTGGACACAGTAATGGCCTAAGGGTGGACACTGAGATGAAACCAGAACAGAAGACTTCCGCTTCCAGTGACTCAAGGGAGAGGCATCCGCTCTGTTCTGGCAGAGGCTTAGCTCTAGAAGTGATCTGCACACCATGCTGGGGGTGGGGGTCTGGCTGATAGAACAGCTGAGACACTTCTGGCACCAACTGCTCCTGAGTTGAGTGATAATTCTGTCCCTGCAGTGACTACAGGTGGCGTAGACAACATCTGAAGCCTTTAAGTAAATTTCTGCTTTTGGCTAATTAAGGTCACTAAAGACTCCCACAGCACCCAAACTTTTCTTTTAAAAGCTGGTTAAACAAACTT